ACGAATGAGGCGGGGACGCGGATAAACGAGTGAAAGTTCTTGTATATTTTATCAAAAGGAAAAAATGTTAAGTGCGACGATACTCAAGGTTCGTTAGTTATGATCTTCGGTAAACAAACTGTTTCCTCCAGAGGGGTATTGGGAAAAACTACAGCCGCAGATGTAGACGATGTACGTGACTCTGCGCAAAAGGCTTGATGGAAGTATTTTTTTTGCAAGTATGACCGACAACTATGCACATTTATTGCAATCAGAAACTTATAACAGCGGGGAAATTATTCATTTTTCATGTTGAAAAAATTTGTAAATGTATTCTAGCATGCCGCAACAACTTTTCGCAATATTGCTGGTGGATTACATTAGCTTAATCAATAGCTCACTTTCCACAACGAGCAAGGACATCTATTACATAATATTCACGAAAGATGTAATAGGGAACTCGAGGTTTCCAGTCCAGGTTTCAAGAAAAGCATTAGCCGTTCAGACGAAGAACTACAGCTGCGAATATCGTGATAAAATGGTACCTGTGCAAGCTACGACCATTCCAATTGATCTAGACTAACTAAACCGTCTAGCTCAAAGTTTCTCTCAAGCACTGTGGAAGGATATCCTTGGCTGTTCTCAAGCATAGATGTGGAAAAGAATTGCCCCAGAGCTCACACGATATTTGAAAGAAAAGTATCTTAGGAAAACTCTCAAGAATTTGCGTTTCTGCCGCGGAGACACTTTAACCACTAAAAAATTCTAAAAAATCCACCAGTAAGCCGCAGTCACTGGCCTACAGACCGTTAACTGTTTGGAGTACTTCATCAACACTTGATTAGAGCCCCTTTTGGAAATGTGTTGTAAGCACATGATAGGCGTGCAGCGTATTACAAATCTTGCTGAAAATTACGAAAAACCACTTTCGCTGTTGCCACTTTTGAAATAGACAAATTTTTCCAATCGCTTTCCCAAACTTTGGAGGGGGAGAAGATATATAAAATATGATGAGCTCACACGTTTTCCGAGGGCACCACGGTCGTAAAGTCTACCTTATAACACTGGATGAAGCGAGTTTGTTTCAACTTGATAATAGTGATAAATAAACTAAGAGTAATAAGTTTAATTAACTGACTATACGAGGAGAGAGGCAGCGAACATAGAGGAAAATCAAATGCTGTTAGAATATGAGGAATAACGAAGCAATTCCAATTTAACACCTGCAGATGCGAACATTTTTCGATGCAAATTCCAGTTCACATCCGATAGGGCTATATAGATTTGATTTGTATTTAATATATACGGATGATAAAGTGTTAGCATTATTTTTAAACTGCAATGTTTAAAAATTATGCTAACATTGTTCTGCCGGCATCTCGTCTTTTATTTTTTTTCATTGCATAAGTATTTACGTACTTTTCTCTTTCCTTTTTTATTCTCTTAAATTTCTTTAAAGCGGACAACAGCTT